TAGAGCCTCCACGGACTCCCACCACTGGAGGTTTCTTGCACTCTTCTCCTTTTGCTTCATCTTCTCTGGCCACTTCCCCAGAGGAAATTTAGGTCCCTCTTAACATTGGTGGATCAGTATAAACCCCTTATGGGACCTCTGAAGGGCCACCATAAGCCATATGAGTTGACCACGGAACGGTAGATTGGACTCACTCACTCCGCACAGCAGTAGTGCTTGTTACCATTCACGCACTTTCAACCTCCAAGATACCCAGACCATCAAGGAAGCACTTCACTGCCCCAGTGGCTTTTCTTACCTTGGTCTGTGCACAGAGTTACCTGGTCGCCATGGTATTTGTAGGCCTTCTCTTCTCGCATTGCTGAGATTCCAGGTTTATTCGTCACAGCGGGTGGGTCTCTATCTCCAGCCTTTGAGGCCACTGCACTGAGTCAGTGGGATGCGTCCCCTCCCAGAAGATGACCAGAGACCCTTCCCTGGAGGAGAATGGGATCCTGGGCTGGGCCCCCAAATTGTTAGAAATGAGCTGGGAGTCGCAAAGAAAACGAACACTCAAAAGACTTCTCAGCAAGGCAGATTTACTTCTGAGAAGGGTGCTGCCTGTGTCAGTCACAATCAGAAGAGCACACCAAACAAAGGAAAGCAAGGGTTTTTTTTTTTTTTTTTTGAGGCGGAGTCTCGCTCTGTCGCCCAGGCTGGAGTGCAGTGGCGCGATCTCGGCTCACTGCAAGCTCCGCCTCCCGGGTTCCCGCCATTCTCCTGCCTCAGCCTCCCGAGTAGCTGGGACTAGGCACCGCCACCACGCCCGGCTAATTTTTTTGTATTTTTAGTGGAGACGGGGTTTCATTGTGTTAGCCAGGATGGTCTCGATCTCCTGACCTCGTGATCCGCCCATCTCGGCCTCCCAAAGTGCTGGGATTACAGGCTTGAGCCACCGCGCCCGGCCGGAAAGCAAGGGTTTTTATTCCTAATGTTGTTACCGTTTCTGTGTCCTCCCTGCCTCCCCCCCACCTCCCCCGTTAATTGGGGTCAGAGCTCACAATCTAAACTGATCCTGATTGACTAGATTTAGCATTTAGAATAGGACAGAGAACCAGGAAGTTTATTGTTTGTACCTATTAACTTTAAGGCAGTGTGGGTCGGCTACAATCTTGGTGGATGGAGGCATGCCTGGGCATGTTAAAGGCAGGAAAGATTACTTATAAAATAGAACAAAGAACAAGGGGGGGTCAAACCCTTTGAAGAGAAACTGTTCCTAACACCTAGGTTTTCTTCTAGGGCTTTTATGGTTTTAGGTCTTACAATTAAGTCTTTAATCCATCTTGAGTTAATTTTTGTATAAGGTGTAAGGAAGGGGTCCAGTTTCAGTTTTCTGCATATGGCTAGCCAGGTTTCCCAACACCATTTATTAAATAGGGAATCCTTTCCCCATTGCTTGTTTTTGTCAGGTTTGTCAAAGGTCAGATGGTTGTAGATAGGTGGTGTTATTTCTGAGGCCTCTGTTCTGTTCCATTGGTCTATATATCTGTTTTGGTACCAGTACCATGCTGTTTTGGTTACTGTAGCCTTGTAGTATAGTTTGAAGTCAGGTAGCGTGATGCCTCCAGCTTTGTTCTATTTGCTTAGGATTGTCTTGGCTATGTGGGCTCTTTTTTGGTTCCATATGAAATTTTAAGTATTTTTTTCCAGTTCTGTGAAGAAAGTCAATAGTAGCTTGATGGGGATAGCATTGAATCTATAAATTACTTTGGGCGGTATGGCCATTTTCATAGTATTGATTCTTCCTATCCATTAGCATGGAATGTTTTTCCATTTATTTGTGTCCTCTCTTACTTCCTTGAGCAGTGGTTTGTAGTTCTCCTTGAAGAGGCCCTTCACATCCCTTGTAAGTTGGATTCCTAGGTATTCTCTTTGTAGTAATTGTGAATGGGAGTTCACTCATGATTTGGTTCTGTCTGTTATTGGTGTATAGGAATGCTTGTGATTTTCGCACATTGATTTTGTATCCTGAGACTTTGCTTAAGTTGCTTATCAGCTTAAGGAGATTTGGGGCTGAGATGATGGGGTTTTCTAAATATACAGTCATGTTATCTACAAAGAAAAATAATTTGATTTCCTCTCTTCTTATTTGAATACCCCATATTTCTTTCTCTTGCCTGATTGCCCTGGCCAGAACTTCCAATACTATGTTGAATAGTAGTGAGAGAGAGGGCATCCTTCTCTTGTGCCAGTTTTCAAAGGGAATGCTTCCAGTTTTTGCCCATTCAGTATGATATTGGCTGTGGGTTTGTCATAAATAGCTCTTATTATTTTGAGATACGTTCCATCAATACCTAGTTTATTGAGAGTTTTTAGCATGAAGTGTTGAATTTTGTCAAAGGCCTTTTCTGCATCTTTTGAGATAATCATGTGGTTTTTGTCATGGGTTCTGTCATATCTTTGTTTTTCATCAGTTCAACATGATTTATAATGTTCCTTGTATTCTTTGACCTGTGAATTATTTGGAAGTGTGTGTTTAATTTCAAAATATTTGTGACTTCTAGGTATTTTATTTTTCTAATACCTGATTTCATTTAGTCAGAGAACGTACTATGTAAACCTTAAATTTTGAAAGTTGAACTTATTTTATAGGCCAGCATATTCACTTGATGAATGTTCCATGTACAGAATGTTGGCTGTAATGTTCTATAAATGTCATGTTTGAGTTAATTGTGTCAAGATAGTTGATAGTGATTTTTCGACCTTCTACTGCTGTGGTAGATGGAAAAAATGGTCCCTGCAAGATGTCCATGACCTAATTCTGAGAACTTGTGCATATGTTACCTTATATGATGAAAAGAGTTTTTGTAGGTATTATTAAGTACCTTGAGATGATGGGTAATTAATCCTGGATTATCTGTGTGGGCTCATTTTAATCAAAAGGGTTCTTACAAAACATGTGGCAAGGTCAAAAGCAGAAAAAAGAAATGAGACAATGGAAGCAAAGGATGGAGAATCAAGTACACTGAAGATGGAGGAGGGCCTCAAGTCCAGAAACAGGCAGCCTCCAGAAGGAAGGCCAGTACCTTGATTTTAGCTTAGTAAAACTGATTTCAAACTTTTGGCTTCTAAAACTGTGATAAAATAAGCCATGCAGTTTGTGGTAATTTGTTAAGGTAACTTCAGGAAACTTACAGAGAATTTGGTATCGGGAAGTATGGGGTGCTGCTGTAACCAATACCTAAAAATGTGAAAGTGGCTTTGGAGTAGGGTAGTGCTTAGAGACTAGAAGAGTTTTGAGGAGCATGCTTTATAAAAAGGCTAGATTGCCTTGAACAGACTCTTAGTAGAAATTTGGAAGTTAAAGACTGCCCGTGGGGGTTAAAAGGAAATGAGGAGCACAGTGGAGAAAACCTACCATGGACTTAATACCTAGATCATAAACAAACTTTTGGTAGAAATATGGACATTAAAAACATTGTTGGTGAGGACTTGAAAGGAAGTGAGGAACATGTTATTGGAAACAGGAGGAAAGGGGATTTGTGTTATATAGTGGCAGGAAGTTTAGTTGCATTGTATCTTACAGTTACATGGAAAGCAGAACTTGTAAACAATGAATTTGGATTTTGTTTGACTTATGAGATTTTATTTCTTCTTTTATTTTTATTTTTTGGAGTCAAAGTCTGGCTCTGTTGCCCAGGCTGGAGTGCAGTGGCACAATCTCGGCTCACTGCAACATCTGCCTCCTGGATTCAATCAATTCTCGTGCCTTAGCCTCCTGAGTAGCTGGGATTACGGGGCGTGTGAGTTTTCTGAGCAAAGTGTTGAAGGTTTGGCCTGATTTCCTCTTGCTTCTTTTTACAATGTGAGTAAAAGAAAAACTGAAGAAGAAACTGTTTAGCAGAAAGGAATCAGGACTTAATGATTTAGGCAATTCTCAACCTGTCCAGATTGCAGAAGACTCTAGGAGGCTCACTGTCAGAAGAGTATGCAGAGAAAGGCAAGATTTTGCCTGGACACCCTTTTGCTAGTGCCTTGGAAGGATCCCGTGTCTCAGTATCCAGTCACATGGAGGGCTCTTTGAAAACACTAAGCATAGGACTCTTTCAGCAGGAAGTTCCCCTGTTTAGCTTTAGTGTGTAGATACTGGCCTCTTCTTTTAAGCTGCGGTTTCAATGACAGTTTACTTTTCAGAGCTCTTACAGTGCCATACTGCTTAGCTTCACTCTTCTGGCTCCACAGGGTCTCCCATTTAGCCCTTGCAGTTGCCACCTCAATCCCCAGTGCTATTGGGTGGGAAATTCAGGAAAAGTTGGCCTATGGTCACTACCACTGCAACGGATTGGGCCTGCCATTGCCCCAGATGTCAGATGAGCACCCAACTGATAGTGCTGTTGTGGTGAACTGGGCCCCCGATCCTGCAAGTATAGAATTGGGGGGTTAGCCACCACTGCTACGGGTTTGGGGCAACAGACAGGTGCCCTGGCTTCCATGGCACCCAGTACATTTTTGTTCATGCTGTCCCTTGATCCTTTTGAATTAATGTACATATATATTTACATATATATAAAATGCTGCAAATTCTTAACCAAAGCTGAGAACACTGAATGTTTCAGCTTCAAGTTTTAAATAAACTCAGCAATTGGAAGAGCAAGTTAGCAATCTGAGTTATTTTTAGTCTTATTAGAAGTATAACAAAAGTAAAATTTTCTTAAGTTATTAGTTCCTAAAACTTAGTCTAACAGGAATACAGTGTTGTCTAAGTACCTGAACATTTGTTTTTCCTTCTTTCCATCCAAGCTAGGAAGTTGATGTATACCATCATTTTTATTTCTTCAGAGTTTTTAAAAATTCATTTTGGCAGGCAAATCACAATCATGGTCATCAGCCATCGAAATACATGTGATTTAACTTATGTTTTGCCATATGTATGCAAGAATACTTTGAAAATCCTTATTTTGTTTGGAAGGATATGATTGGTAAAATTCCCCTCAACTGCTTTTTTCTCACGTATTTAATAGGTTGCAAATTCAGAGGCTATGATTTTGGATAAGAATCTGGAGTCAGTTAATAGTCCAGTTGAAAGGTCTTCTGTGAATTATGAGCCTTCTAACCCTTCAGAAAAAGGAAGTAAAAAAATTAATTTATCAGCAGATCAAAATAAGTCTGTTTCTGAAAGGTAGGTGTTTCTGCAAACATGCATAAATTTATCTAAATCTATAATAATGAATTTTTTCTTCATCACAGTTTTGGATCTTTATAATATTGATTATTCTTAACATTGACTCTTAAAATGTCCTATAGTTTTACTTTTACATATTATACTTCAGTTGTGGGTTTTTTTTGGTTTTAGGGTTTTGTGGGTGTTTTTGAGATAGGGTCTCACTTTGTTGCCCAGGCTGGCGTATACTAGTACAATCACGGCTCACTGCAGCCTCGACCTCCTGGGCTCAAGTGATCTTCCACCTCAGCCTCCCAGGTAACTGGGACTACAGGTGTGCAATCACCATACTGGGCTAATTTTTTGTATTTTTTTGTAGGGGCAGGGCTTCACCATGTTGCCCAGCCTGGTCTGGAACTCCTGGGCTCAGGCAATCTGCCTGCCTCTGCCTCTGCCTCCCAGAGTGCTGGGATTACAGGCATGAGCCACTGTACCTGGCCCTATACTTGAGTTTTTAAAAAGAGGAAAACATAAAATCAAAGATAAGTAGATTGAATGATGGCCATTGTTTGAAGAACACCCTCTCCCACAAATAACTATGCGTACACAAGGAGGCTCTAAAACAAAGGAGAAGCATTACAGATCTAAACCATTTATGTTTGTGTTGGGGGATTTAACATGCAGTTGTGACCACATTTTGTTTTAAGCCAGGAAGCCTCTGTGAAGGAGGCATTTAGTTGATGAAGGCAAGAGCCGCATTTCAGTGACACTTTGTAGTGTGGCCCCGTATTGATGCATGTGCTGAAACTCATGAAGTAACAAAAAATAAAAAGTGGTAGTGATGGAAGTGAAAAAGACACCATTAAAATAGCACTTTATAGAAAAATATATCCAATTTAGCAGTGGTTTGTGTCTGTTATATGAACAAATCTATCTCATGTTCTATTCTGAAGGAAGAACCCTGGGATTTATAAAACTGAGGCAGCACTCTCAGCCCATGGTGAATGTGCGGATAGGTGTAACAAATGTGTAACTTGAATCTGATGGCTTTAATGGTGAGTTTTATAAAATATTTAAGCAAGAAATAACACCAGCTTTAAGCAAACTCTTCCAAAGAACAGAAAAAAAGGGAACGTTCTTCAGCTCATTTTATGAGACTAGCATAACCCTAATACTATTATAAAATCAATTTTAAAATTTTACAGAAATGGAAAATTACAGCCCGCTTTAAACCACAAAATAGATGCAGGTGTCCTAAACAAGATAACTAGTAAACCAAGTTCAATAGTCTACAAAAGTTGAGTTTGACTCAAGAGTATGGGAACCTTGGTTTAACAATTCAACATCAATTCATGTGGCTGGGCGTGGTGGCTCATGCCTGTAATCCCAGCACTTTGGGAGGCTGAGGCAGGTGGATCACTTGAGGTCAGGAGTTTGAGACCAGCCTGACCAACATGGTGAAACGCCATCTGTACTAAAAAAAAAAAATAAAAATTAAAAAATTGGCCAGGCACGGTGGCTCATGCCTGTAATCCCAGCTCTTTGGGAGGCCCAGGCGGGCAGACCACCTGAGGTCAGGAGTTCAAGACTAGCCTGACCAACATGGAGAAACCCTGTCTCTACTAAAAATACAAAATTAGGCCGGGTGCGGTGGCTCACGCCTGTAATCCCAGCACTTCAGGAGGCCAAGGTGGATCACGAGGTCAGGAGATCGAGACCATCCTGGCCAACACGGTGAAACCCCGTCTCTACTAAAAATACAAAAAATTAGCCAGGCATGGTGGTGGGCACCTATAGTCCCAGCTACTCAGGAGGCTGAGGCAGGAGAATGGCGTGAACCTGGGAGGCGGAGCTTGCAGTGAGCCGGGATCTTGCCACTGCGCTCCAGTCTGGGGGACAGAGCTAGACTCCATCTCAAAAAGAAAAAAAAATACAAAATTAGCTGGGCATGATGGTGCATGCCTGTAATCCCAGCTACTCGGGAGGCTGACGCAGGAGAATTGCTTGAACCCAGGAGGCAGAGGTTGCAGTAAGCCAGGATCACACCATTGCACTCTAGCCTGAGCAACAAGAGCAAAACTCCATCTCAAAAAAAAAAAAAAAAAAAAAAAAATTAACTAGGCATGGTGGCACGAACCTGCAGTCCTAGCTACTCGGGAGGCTGATGCAGGAGAATCGCTTGAACCCAGGAGGCAGAGGTTGCAGTGAGCTGACATCATGCCACTGTACTCCAGCCTGGGCAACAGAGTAAGACTGTCTCAAAAAATAAAATAAATAATGTGATTTGCCTGGAGAAAAACCATTATCAACTCACAACTCACTATAGATACAGGACTTGATAAAATACCCATTTATGATTAAAATAAATTCTTGGCAAACTCGGAATAAGAGGTAACTTCTTTAATCTGACAAAAATTATCTAGAAAAACCCTAAGACAAATCTGATGGTGAAACATTGGAAGTGTTCCTTGGAGATACAAAAGAAAGACGCCTGCTGTCACCATTTTATATAACATACTGAATGTCTTAGCTAATGCAAGAATGCCAAAAAAATTGGGGGAAAAAGAAAAATACAAAGTATAGTAAAGAAGGAACAATATTATTACTATTTTTGGGTGACTGGGGTGTGTATGTATGAAATCCAGTGAAGCCTACAGATTATTAAAATTAATAAGAGTAAAAGAAGATTGCTGAATTCAAATATCTTAAGAAATCTTTTGTATTCCTGTTGAGAATACAAGATAGAAATAATTAGGAAATAAAATTTTGGAAAAGCTGTAATACCATTATAGAAGCCCCAAAACTTATCAGGTACCTGGGAATACATTTAATAAGACAAACAATAGCTGAAGAAAATATAAAATGTTAGATATTAAAGAAAAAGCAATTTAAAAGATATACTATATAAATATAATACTCCTTTGTCCACATCATAGAGTACAATTTCAGTCAGTATCTCAGTGTGTAATTTTATAGAACTTAACGTGATTCTAAAATGCAATGGGTTCAGAGCTCAGGATACTGTTTAGAGAAACAAAATGGAAGGAATTTGCCATCAGATGTTAGGATATTACAAAGCTACAGTAATAGCAGAGTATGAGATGGGCACGTGCTGGACAAGTAGATCAGTGTAACAGTAGAGAGTCCAGAAACCCATGTATGTATGTACGTGTGATATGTGGTGGAGACTGTGTGGCAGTCAATCATTTGGGAAATGATTGACTTTTAGTAAATGGTACCATCTTGTTTGCTGTTTATGTTGGGGGAAATATGAAATTGGACCCCTATGTAAAGCTATAAAAACAAACTCATGTGGATTAAGGAACTAAAAATATCTAAAGGAAATTATAAAGCTTTTAGAATATGTATTATAAAGCTTTAGATATTAGAATTATATTAGAATAGAATATTAGAATATTATAATTATAGAGCTTTTAGAATATATAATGTCTTCATGAACTTGGGTAGGGAAAGATTTCTTAAGACATAAATGCCCTTGCCATAAAAGAAAAATGGATTAATTTTACCACATTAAAATTAGAAACTTCTTTTCTCAAAAGGCACTATAAAGATAGTGAGAAGACAGGCCATCCGAGTTGGAGAAGATACTCGCAACACATATAACCTGTAGAGGACTAGTACGCAGAATATATATAAAGAACTTCAACAAGTCAATGAGTAAAAGCCAAATAATACAAAAGAAAAATGGGCAAAAGACTTGTGCATCCACTTCACAAAAGAGGAGTTCGAAATGGCCAATAAACATATGAAAAGGTGTTCATCTTCATTAGTAATCAGGGAAATGCAAATTAAAACCACAATGAGATATCATTTCATATCAGGTAAGGAAAAAATACATTTAAAAATCTGACTACTGGGTATTGGTGAGGTTTTGAAATAAAGGAAGTTGTATTTAATATTTTGTTCTTGGGTGAGTAAATTGGTATAGTAGTCTAAAAGAAAATTGGCATTATCTGGAAATATCAAAGATATGAATATCCTTTGACCTGGCAGTCCCATCTCTTGATATTCCCTAGTTAGAGGTATGCCTATTGCATGTTCATATGCCATAGAATATATGTATAGGAATGTTTATTAGCAGCATTTTTTATAACGGCCAAAAACTGAAAGGAAAGTGTCCATCTACAGTTGAAAAGGAAATTATAGTAAATCTGTACAGTGGAATATTGTGCATGAAAGAAAATGAAGGAACTGCAGTCACATGCAACAGTATGGATTATTCCCACAAAGTATGATTGGAAAGCAGACACAAAAGACGTGTATGATTCCATTTAAATGAAGTTCAAAAATAGCCATAAAGCAAAGTGTATGATTCAGGGATTCTAAGCTGCATAGTAAATCTAGAGAGTAAAACAAGGAGATTAGTACCACATATGCCATTTATGGTGAGGAAGTTTATGATACAGGATAGAGGCATATGGATTTCTGAAGTGCTGATAATTTAAAATTTACTTACCTGAATATGGCTGCATGGACACTAGCATTGTATTTAATCAGCAAAGTGATGTATGCTTAGTGTAATCTGACTGATGTGTGTGGATTTATAATTACAATCTTACTATCTGTTTTCTATTTGCCCAGTTTTATGGTCCTTTTCCTCATATGTATCTGTCTCTCTGTTTTAGCCGTCTTTTGAATTAATCTTTTTTTCCATTCCCCATTACCTTGTTAATTTTACCGTTTTCATTATTCCCTTAGAAGTTATCCTGATGACATGTATTCTTTACTCATTGGAGTACTACTTCTGCTCTTTTATAGACAATGCTTGATCTTAGAATACTTCAGCTTTGTTTACTGTTTTCCCCATCTTATGTGTTTTTGTGCACTTCAATTTTACATTAAGTCCCAGAGGATGACTACTATGTACCATCATTGTTTATTTAGAGTTACCCACATATTTATGTTTTCTCTTGCCCATTTCTTCCTGTAGTTTCATCTTTCCATCTGGGCTCATTTTTTTTTTCCACATGAAGATCTCTATTTATTATTTCTTTTGC